GATTTTATTTTTGAAAGCCACCTAGAGTTATGAAAGTGAGTGGATGGCCATGTAAATTCTCTTAATAAATACATACCTACATAGAGATGATACAGATATATAAATGACAGAGCTATCCTTCCCTGTTCATTTTGTGAAGCAGCTCGAAGTGCGTCATGCCAACTGCCTGGCTCCTGCGTCTCCTTGGGGGCAAATACCGCTGACTCTGGAAACCGCTTTGCGGGGGCTGCAAAGCAGTGTGAAGTGGCCTATAAGTCTAAGGGCTACAGCTGTTTCCCATCCTCAGGCCATGCCTTGCAGCATCAGCATCCTCAGAGGCTTGCAATGAATGAATGTGAATGCAGAAGGGGGCAGCACGGGACCTCCACTGTGCATGGGGGGGGGGGGCTCTCCCTGGGGAAAGAAGACGGAGCATGTGCTTCTCCTCTCCCCCCCCCTCCATAAGTTGCAGCAGCCCCTTCCTCGGTTCTCTTGCTCGCTGAGCACCTGTGCTAGTTCTACTCCAGAGTAGGGATCAAAGTAGGGGCATCTTTTGCCCCTGACTATCCTAGCAGAACTGAGAAATTTGCCCAGACTTTCTGAACCACCCATACTGAGTTGCATTCATTACAATCGTTCATCCCCCCCATCGGAGTTTGTAGACTTTGGGGTGGGGTGGGGGGTGGTCAGGGGAGGGTAGAGATGGGAAGGCCTGGGGAAAAAAACTGGAAAAATTGGGGGGGGGGGAGAAACAGGTTTTTTTTTCTATTTTTTCCAAACAGGGGAAAAAATGGGGGGGAAACCACCCTGTTTTTCTCCCAATTTTTCCGGGTTTTTTTCCCCAAGCTGAGGGCTGGAACTGCTTTTCATATTTTGCTTCTGTCTGCCTTTTTAAGTGCCCCTCCGGGCAAAAGAGGGTCTTAAGCTCAGTTCCTTTCCAGGCCTGTCTTGGGATGCATGCCTGGGAAAGAAGCCTCCCGGTTCAAACTAGCTTTCCTTCTACTACAAAATAGTCCTATGCACAAACAAGCACCCTTTGGGTGTCCCCGCGTCCTTTCCAGAATTGCTGGGGGCGGGGGGGGGGAAACGAGGGGCTTTGCAGTCACACACGACATTTGATACTCGAGGGAGTTAACCTTTGCAGGTCCCCAGCCGAACAGAGCCCCAGCCTGCAGCAGACTGGACTCCAGGAACCGAGGCCCCTGCAAAGACAGATGTCCCCAACATATTCTCGCCCCCCCCCCTTCAGAAAGACATTTAGGAATGGATAGAATTTGTCCACCGGTGCTCCTAAATGTTCCTCGGTCAATCTGTCCAGATTTGGGAGGGATCTGTCCTCCCATAGATTAAAGATCAAAGAGAGAATCAACCTGGAATTAAGGAGAAACTTCCTGACAGTGAGGACAATTAACCAGTGGAACAGCTGGACACCAGAAATCGTGGGCACCCCATCCTTGGAGATCTTTAAAAAGAGACGGGACATTCACTTGTCTGAGATGGTTTAGGTTCTCCTGCTTGAGCAGGGGGCTGGACTAGAAGACCTCCAAGGTCCCTTCCAGATTCTATTCTATTCTATTCTATTCTATTCTATTCTATTCTATTCTATTCTTCTTATTCTATTCTGTTATTCTGTTCTGCTCTTATTCTGTTGTTATTCTGTTGTTATTCTTTTCTATTCTATATCTGTTCTATTCTATTCTAAATCTGTTCTATTCTATTCTATTCTGTAATTCTATTCTATTCTATTCTATTCTATTCTATTCTATTCTACTCTATTCTCTTTGAATGGAGGGTCTCCTGAGCTGTTCTGTTCTTTTTCAGGCTGTTTGCCCACCACCTTCAGGCCCCTCGTCCCTCCCTAGGCTTGCCTGCCTGCTGTCTTGGCCTTGTTCATTGTTGGCATATTTTGAACTCAGCCCCGGAGCAATGAGTCCTTGCTCTACTGCGTCATTCCTGACCCTGCTGGGCCCTGAAGCCGAGTACACACAAGTGATTAGTCTTCTAACATGGATGTTTCAACCTGTTTTCCTTCTTTCTGCAGGCAACAAGGTCCCGGCCATCTCCCTGGGTCAGCAAAGGGTTTATTTGTTTGGGAAGGACGTGCTGTGTGAACATAAGCACGGTGTGAATCCAGCCAATCTATAATGTTTCCCCTGCCCAGAATAGAGGCTGTTCTCTCCTGAGCCCATGCAGGGCCAGAGAAAGTCAAGTTGGTTCAACCTCTGGCGGAGACTTTTACTTAAGGCCAACTAAGTAAATTGTTGATATGCATAGAACAGAACAGAATAGGATATGAAATGGATTGGAATGGAATAGAAGCTGGAAGGGACTTTAGCGGTCTTCTAGTCCAGCCCCCTGGTCAAGCAGGAGACCCTCTACCATTTCAGACAAATGGTTGTCCAGTTTCTTCTTAAAAACTGTGGGGTCCTTAATGCTCTCTGAGCTTGGTGGTTTTCTTGCAGACCTTTCATTACCTAATGAGATAACCTCATCAGTGGTGGAAGGGAAGGGGGTTTGTGGAGTGGAGGAGGAGGAGGAGGAGGAGGAGGAGGAGGAGGAGGGGAACTGTGGGGTCCTTGGTGCTCTCTGAGCTTGGTGGTTTTCTTGCAGATGTTTCATGACCCAACTAGGGAACATCATCAGTGCTAGAAGGGAGGGGGATTTGTGGAGAGGATAGGAGGAGGAGGAGGAGGAGGAGGAAGAGGGGAGGAGGAGGGGGGAGGGGGAGGAGGAGGAGGAGGAGGAGAACTGAGGGGGTTTGTGGAGTGGAGGAGGAGGAAGAGGAGGAGGGGGGAACTGTGGGGTCCTTGGTGCTCTCTGAGCTTGGTTGGTTTCTTGCAGACATTTCATGACCCAACTAGGGAACATCATCAGTGCTAGAGGGAGGAGGAGGAGGAGGAGGAGGAGGGACTATGAGCTCTTTGGTGCTTGGTGGTTTTCTTGCAGACCTTTCATTACCAGCAAGACCTTTCATTACCAAACTAGGTGACATCATCAGGGCTGAGGTTAGGATTAAGATTATGGATGACAGGCCCAAGGAACCCGTCACTTAGAACCACAGCCAGCTTCCACTCCACCTCCCAAATTCCCTTTTCCTTGCACCCTCCTCCGTGGACCAGCATACCCAGTCAGCCAAACCTCCACCGCTTCCAGTCTGCAACCAACGCCACTTTGATCAAATTGGCATTTCCCTTCCTTCCAGATGTCAACAAGGAAATAAATAAATCAAGCGAGCGAGCAAATACATAAGCAATAAGATTCTGGTAAACACCCCGGTTACCCCCCACCCCCACCCTTCGTGGCCTCGGGAATTAAACCGTGCCCTTGTGGTCGAGGTAGCCGCTGCAGGAGCCCCCCCCCGAGATGGAGGCGTTGCAACGTTTCGGTGCCCATTGGTGCGCCCTGCCCATGCTGAACTGCCCCTCCCCTCTAAAGGGCCCCTAAGAAAGGGGTCTCCAGGTCGACTGAAGAAAGGGAGGCTGGGAGGGTCCTGGAGGAGCCCCCGAAAAGTTGGCGCATCCAGGAGGGCCCCCGTGGCCTGTAGGAGAGGGCAAGAATGTGGATTTCCCCCCCCGCCCCGCCGAATTGCCTCAAGCCACCGGCGGAGAGGAAGGTGAATCTAACCAGGCTGAGGTTGGGCGCTCTGCCCGCTCGCCCGCCCGTTCTCCTGGCATCGGAGCCTTTTCTGGACTCCCCTGGACCCTCGGGAGTGGGGGGGGGATGGGCGGGCCAAGCCACCCACCAATTGCTAACCCAGCTCCCTTTTCCGCCAGGGGGCTCTCACGCCAGGGGGCAAAGACAAGAGGGATGGGGGGGAAGAGGGGGGCACGCAAACCCCCAGCCCGCCGGTCCTGCTACTCCGCTTCGGTCCAGCCTCCCTATCAGTTTTCCATTCTCGTTGCTCCGTCCCAGAGACGTGTCGGAAGAAACGCGAGGCACAAATGACCACATTCTCACACACAGAAGAATTGGGGGGGGGGAGTCCGACCCCGTTTTCGGAAGCACATCTAAAGAGGGTCGGCGGGGAGCTGTGCCCACCGACCCTCGCCAAGAGCTCCGGGCAGCCCAGAGGCTCTTTGTTGGCCAAGCCAACTACCGCCGACCTCTGGAGCCGCCCTATCCACGCCACCAGCCCGAGAGGTGTCTGAAAGCCAGGGGAGACGGGCGGTGGGCGGGAGGGCTCCTGGCCAGACTATCCGGTCCAGAAATGGGGCGTCCAAGTACTTGGCTTGCCTGGGAGGCCGGGGAAATGGGAAGGACCCCCCCCTTTTAACACACACACACACAAAGATGGAAAGAGATGTTCAGAAACCCCGGGGAGGGAGGGAGGGAGTTGCAGAGGACCGCCGAAAAATCGGGGCGGGGGGGGACACCCAGCCCCTCCAGGCAGGAACCGGAGCCTGGGCTGCTGATCCTCTCAGGGGCGAGGGTCGCTTGCCGCCCCCCCCCCCAGCAGCAGCACCAGCCTCGTTCCTGGTTCTCCCCCCTCCCCACCCCCGTCCCCAAACTCCGCCTGGGAGGGAGTCGAGCAGCCCCCGGCCGCTCCCGAAGACAAAACGAGTGAGGGGGGGGAGCGCTTTTCCCTCCCCCTCGCTCTAACCCTCCCCCCCTCCCCCGTAATATGACCCATAACGGAGTATCCTTCGCGGCCACAGCCCGGACCGGAGATTCCCCCCAACTGAGCGGACGGGGCGCGACCCCTCGACGAGGCACCGGGCGCGCGCCGGGCCAGGCCGTCTCCCGCGGCGCCCGGGAGCCCCCACCCGCCCGCGGGGAGCCGCCGACAGCGGGACACAGGCGGGTGGCGGGGGCGAATCCTCCCCCGCGGCTGGGTGGGCCCCTGGCAAGAATCCCAGAGGCGGGGGGGGGACCCCCAGGGAACGGGGAGCCGGGCCCCGCATATGACAGCCGGCCAGGCGAACGATCGGGGGGGGGCGGCGGAGGGAGGGGAGGGGAAGGCGACCCACCCTTATTTCACAGCTCTCCCCGCCGCCCCCCCCCGCCCCCCTGCCCCGGACTCACGTTGCTGGAGATCTGGTTCTCTCCCACTGCGGGGCTCGCGAAGCGGCGCCGAGCTGCAGGTAGAGTCCCAGCGAGTGGCAGAGCGCCAGGGTCAGGCCGAAGGCGCCCCCCCCACCTGCTCCCCTGCCGGCCGCCTCTCACATCCGGGGGGCGCCGCGAGCCAGCAGCTGCCGCCCGCGTACCCCAGCCCGCTCCTCCGCCGCCTCGCCGCCGCCTCTATACCGCCTGCTCCTCCGCTCGCCAGCCGGAGAACGCGGGATCTTCCTACGGCGGAGGGCTCCGCCGTGCCGCGGCCGTCACTCCCTCCCTCCCTCGCTCGCTCTCCCACGCGCGCGCGCGCGCCCGCTCTCTTGCGCGCCGGCGGAGGGATCCGGAGAGCAGAGCTTGATTGATCGCTGAAGTTTCTCCGAAGGGACCTTTTAAAAGCCCCGGCGGGCGGGGGCGGGGGGGAGGAGGAGGGGGGGGCTGCCTGCCTGCCCGTGGGCGGAGTGGGGAGGGGGGTACCGAGCAGGCAGCGCCTCCCCCCTCTCGCTTTTTGAAAAGGAGGGGGACGCTGGGGGGGGGGGTTATTCCAGTCTGCGAATGGAGGTGGCCCTACCTGCGAGGGGAGCCAGGGCTGCCCTCCGTTTGTCCCCGGGACCCCCGCGGGGGAGGCCGGCGCAGGGCCTCTCGCGGGGGGGGGCGGAGGTGGGAGGGGGAGGTGGGGGCAAGAGAGGAAGCGCAGCTTCCCTGGCCGCTGTTCTGGCTGAGCCCGCGGGCGCCGCTTTGGGTCTGGACCCCTCGGTTGGGCGCGCGCCCGGCCACGAGCCTGCCGGAGTTGCGCGCGTCCCCGCCTGGGCCCGGGCAGCCGTTAAGCGAAGCGCCTCCGCGGTCGCCCGGCCCCTCGGGAGGGAACGAGCCATTTCACACCTCGCCCGCGGACAGCGCCCGGAGGCCTCTGGTTCGCTCGCTCGCTCGCCCTGCCGCATCGGGCCGGCCGCGTTCCCACGGCGGCGGCTGAACGCGTGACTGAACTCAGCAGCTCTCTTAGGAGCCCAGAACAGGCTGAGCCGAGACCCCCCCCCTCTCCTGGCTTGGCTTTTCCCCTGAAGCCAAGCTCGCCCTGAGCCAACTTGGCCAGACAGGGGCATCCACGCGGCATGGGAATGGGCCACCGGGGGGGGGGGAGGGGAACCTTCTCTGTAGCCCAAAGAGTTGCTATTGCCAAAATGTGCCCCCACTTTTTCTCCAGCAGCTGATATTCATCGCCCAATTGATGCCAGGCCAAATTCTGCCTGAGCCGGATGGATGATCTCTCTGCACCCCGGGGAGGTTCCTGTGGTTGGTGTGCAGGACCCCGGCAGGGCGGAGAGAGACCACTGTCTGTCGGGCTCAGGCTGAATTTTGGCCTCGGCCAGGCCCAGATAGCTTGACTTGGAGCAGCGATGAGGCCCCCCTTGGAGAAGGGCAGACCCAGTGCGGGGGTGCTGCCGGTCACTATCTCTGCAACCCGAAAATATCCTCGGTCAGTCCTGAACCCCATCCAGGCTGGAGAAAAAACTCTGGACAGCTGTGGCTGGTGAGCAAGGAGGATGCAAAGCTAAGGACTCTTTGCTCTGTTCATTTCCTGCTCTTTGACGCTCACGTCTGACGGGCACCTCTGCAAGCCCTGACGGGCACGGAAGCCCCGTGCGACAAGGACACTGGCCACTGGCACTCTGAAGCCCAGCATGCCGCTTCCTGCTCTGTCCCACACGACCATCGTCCACGTCTGCAGAGCCTTGTAAGAATCTCACCCGCAGCCTGTGGAGAATGGGAAAGCATAGGGAGTCCTCGACTTTTAACCGTTTGTTTAGTGACGGTTCCAAGTCCGCAACAGCAGGGAAAAAAAGTGACTTATGGCCAGTTTTCACCGTTGACAATCATTGCATCACCCCCAGGGTCACATAATCGAAATTCAGACTCTCGGCAACCGGCACGTAGTTATGACGGTCGCAGTGTCCTGGGGTCACGTGATTCCCTCTTTTGGGACCTTCAGACAAGCAAAAGGGGGGGGGAGTCCAGGGGGAGGCTGGACTCGCTTACCGTTCGTGTGAATAACTTCACAACTGCAGTCATTCCCTATGGCAAGAAAAGGTCGCAAAGTGAGGCATAGTGAGAAATTGCCCCCCCCCCTTTCTGGCTTCTGAGAGTGTCTGAAAGAAGCTGGCAAGGTTGGCACCATCTGGGTCTGTTCTGGCCAGCTTCTGTCCCTCTACCCCCACCAGGCCACGAGGGAGGGGCAGCACCCAATTATTCGGCCTGGGTAAGAAAGAGCAGCCCAGGGCTGGCCCTGGAGGAGTTCATTTGGGGAGGGGGGGTAGAGGCCAGCTTAGCTGTCACCTGCCTTGCCTTCCGGGGGTGATTTCCCCCCCCTGCCCTAGAGAAGTGCCACGTCCCATCACATGGCTTCCCTGGCCGTGCTGTCAGTAATAACTGCTCTAGGATCTGTTCCTTTAATCCAGAATCAATAGCAAATTTCATTTAAAAATAAATTAAAGCCGGCATTGGAAATCCTTCACCGTGGGGGAAGAGGGGGGGGGAGCTGTGTGTGGAGTGCCTTAATGGTTCCCTTCACTCATCCATCACTGCCAGGACAAGGGGAGTGACTCCGAGTGGCCCAGATTCAACGGGAGAGGAATTTACACCGATCGGCTCTTAGACCAGGCAAGTCAGGGCAAGGGGCAGAGCGGTGGGCACCAACCTCACGTCAGCGTCGCCAGATAAACCAGTCATTTAAAAAAACAATCTTTATCTTTTAACATAGAAGGGGAGGTGCTTCCCCTGGCACAAGCCAGCATTTCACAGGCTTGCCGAAGTGCCAGGCGCTGAGAAAGGGCCTTGTCCAACAAAATGATATTTAATGTGGAGAAAAGCAAAGTTTTGCAGGAAAAACCCCAAAGTCCAAGTACAGATCGGGTGAGGCCTGGCTCAAAAACAGCCACTGGGAGAGGGACCTTGGAGTCCTAGTGGACAATCGCTTGACCATGAGCCAGCCACGTGCAGCAGCAGCAGCCAAAAAAGCTAAAACAATCCTGGCTTGTATAAACAGAGGCATAGAATCAAGATCACGCACAGTACTAGTACCACTTTATAAAGCCTTAGTAAGGTCACATCTGGAATTCTGCATCCAGTTTGGGCCACCATATCACAAAAAGGATATTGAAACTTTGGAAAAAGTGCAAAGAAGAGCAAATAAGATGATCAAAAGCCTGGAGACTAAAACATACAATTGGGGTTTGGCTAGTTCTAGAGAAAAGAAGGACTAGGGGTGACATGATAGCAGCATTCCAATATTTGAGGGGCTGCCCCAAAGAAGAGGGGGGTCACATTATTCTCCAAAGCACCAGAGGGCAGAACAAGAAACAACGGATGGAAACTGACCAAAGAGAGAAGCAACGTGAAATTAAGGAGAAAGTTCCTGACAGTGAAGACAATTAACCAGTCGAACAGAAGTTGCCTCCAGAAATTGTGGGTGCTCCATCACCGGAGATTTTTAAGAAGAGACTGGACAGTCACCTGTGTGGAATGTTATAGGGTCTCCTGCTTCAGCAGGAGGTTAGACTAGAAGACCACCCAGGTCCCTTCCAGTTCTATTCTAAATTGAGTGATCTTCCAGTAGGGCAGTGTTTCCCAAACTTGACAATTTTAAGGCATGTGGACTTCAACTCCCAGAATTCCACAGCCAGCAATGCTGGCTGTGGAATTCTGGGAGTTGAAGTCCACATGCCTTAAAATTGTCAAGTTTGGGAAACACTGCAGTAGGGGTACAAGACATGTGGCTTGTTCGGGGTCCCATGACTGACAGGAAGCTTCTCCCTATCTGCAAATCTAGCTTCCAAAAGCTTTTCGGAAAAGGTTGGCTGAAAGCTGGGTAGTCCAAACCCATCTCATTTCAGGAGGTTCCCGGCTGGCCCTGATGCAGGACGGGGCATGGATGAGGCCCCATCACTGCCCCTGATCCTGTGGCGGCTTGGATGCAGCGTGGGAGCAACAGGGGCCACAGAAAGCTCATATGGGGCAGTTGCTTATTTTCATATTCTCTTCTTTCAACCTGTGCTCCCTGACCCAAATTCATTTGCTCCGTTTTATTGAGTCCCAAGTAGCATCCTTAAGCTTGGAATCCAAATGGCTGACTTTGGGTCCATCACTAGGAGACGGTGAGTTCTAGTCCCGCCTTAGGCACAAAAACCAGCTGGGTGACTTTGGGCCGATCACCAGGAGACGGTGAGTTCTAGTCTCATCTTAGACACAAAACCAGCTGGGTGACTTTGGGAATCAGCAGGAAAAGCCAACTGGGTGACTTTAGACCAATCACCAGGAGATGGTGAGTTCTAGTCCCGCCTTAGGCATGAAAGCCACTGGGTGACTTTGGGCCAATCACCAGGAGACGGTGAGTTCTAGTCCCGCCTTAGGCACGAAAGGCAGCTGGGTGACTTTGGGCCAATCACTAGGAGACAGTGAGTTCTAGTCCCGCCTTAGGCATGAAAGCCAACTGGGTGACTTTGGGCCAATCACTAGGAGACAGTGAGTTCTAGTCCCGCCTTAGGCATGAAAGCCAGCTGGGTGACTTTGGGCCAATCACCAGGTGGCTGTGAGTTCTAGTCCCGCCTGGTGACTTTGGACTATAAGGCCTCCAAGGTTCCTTCCAATTCTACTATTCAGTCCCTGTCTCTCAGCACAAGCCACCTCACAGGGTTATTATGGGGAAAAACGCAGGCACTCCTTAACTTACAACTTATTCATTTAGTGACCATTTTAAGCTAAAATAGCACTGACAACAGCAACTTATATCTAGTCCTCACACAACTGTCACAACATCCCCATATCATCAAAATTCTGATGCTTGGCAACTGGCCTGTATTTACGACGGTTGCAGCTCCACCACAGGAGGTTTTCAAGAAGAGACTGGACAGCCCCTTGTCCAGAATAGTGTAGTATAGAGCAGGGCTAGGCCACTTTGGCCCTTTTATGACTGGTGGACTTCAACTCCCAGAATTCCTAAGCCAGTCATGCTGAGGGCAAAGGGAGAGGTTTCCAAGCTGAGCCATGGCTAGCTCAGGAATTCTGGGAATTGAAGTCCACGAGTCCTGAGGGGGC